TATATATATATATATATATATCTTTCGTTATATACTCGGCGTTCAACGTATATCGCGATGATATGCGTGATCCTCTTTGAGCAAATAATAAATTAATTATTTCAAGTATCCTCGATTGTAGTGTGTCACGGGGGGACAAACAAACAACAAGAGTCGAGAAATTTCGAACGAACGACATTTCACATGCACCGACCATTCACAATCTGACGCGATCGCCAGATACATTTCGTCGGGATATCTCGTAATTTTTTTCGGGGATTTTTTCACGATTTTGTAGGTAATCTGATCGGATAATTTCGATCGGATGGTGGTCGCGTTTGACAGACGGTGTGAACCGCTCGACTGTGAGCGACTCTCTCGCGTTTCGTTGTGCGTACGGCGAAACTTGAAGACAGATCATTTGAAGAAAGTTACGAAAGTCTTTAAGAAAGAACAAGTTTTTGAATTCTCCACCTGCTGCGGCAATCTGGCGACCGTAACACCTGGCCCCCGTACAATAGTGTATCGCCATACCTGCACATACCTGAATTCGCTCACGGTCGCTTCGTTTCTGCAATCTCTGATCGGCGGCAACAGCCTACGTGGTGGTGGTGGTGGTGGTGGTGGTGGTGGTGGTGCGGTGGTGCCATCGGAGTGGAAAAAGAAAGCAAAGTGGTTGTCAGTGGTTGCACGCGGTTCTTATATCTCTTCTCCGTTTGCCCGTAGCAGCATAGTACGGCACGAGATAGTGTGTACCATTTGATCGAACCAAATCATTTCTGATTCGTCTGGAAATTCTCGAAAGTCCAACGATCTCTGTGAAGAAAAGTGGGGCACGCTCGAAGTGACGATCCGTTTTCGAACGAGAGCCTGCCACGAATCGATGGTTCCCGCGGCGAAGAACGTTTAAAGGATCGTTCCACTTGATCGTGGTGTACTTGTATCGTCGACGGGGTACACGATCGCGAACAAGTGGGAGAGAGGTAGGTGCGGTGTGAGTTTCTGCGAAGAGAGTGCGAGTATCGTCGAATCTCGTCGGGGCGCGGTTGTGTCTCGGGGCCACGTATTATTACACATCGTTTGCGCGGAGAGATTCAGAAAGAGAGAAAGAAAGAAAGAAAGAAAAAGAGAAGAAAAGTGGGGAATAAAATCGCGCCTCAGGTGGACAACGTGGCTGGAATGTACGTGACGGAGACAGGTAGTCACAAAGTGGCACCTGCTCCTACCGTCAGAGCGAGAATGGTCGAGTACAAAACGTCGAACGAAACCGGCGAACGTGGCGTCGGAGGTGGAGGAGGAGGAGGAGGAGGAGGTGGTGGTGGCGGTGGCGGTGGAGGAGGTACTCACCTGGCCGCCACGGTGAAAAACACGGTGCGCCGTCTGCTTCGTCGGACGAAAAGTCACCGGGACGCGCCGTCCTCGAACGCCGCGGCGGCGATCGTCGTGCAAACAACGGCGAACGGCGGCGGGAATCGCGCGAATAATAATCTGGCCGTGGTGAGGAACAAGACGAACAACGCGAACGAGCCAACAGCAAGGAGATCTCAACCCCCTGTCTTGCCGTCTTTCGAGCAACACTCGAGCAGAAACAGTTACGCCAGGCGGCATTCCAGGCTGCGCGTCAGACTTCAGGTAAGAGAAAGACGTGACGTCCCGTCGTTTCGGCGAAAACGCGAATCTCTCGCGTTTCTATCGTCCCTCGAGCGCCATCCTCCTCTCGTCCAGTCGCGTCATCTTACCTGCTGACTATGTCTGCGTGACATTGTTCGCGGACGTTGTTGGATAAAAGTAGACGTCCACACTGACGGAATTTTATTAGCCGTGAAAATCAATTAATC